AAAAAAAAAAGTAGGAAAAACACAAAAGTCAGACGGACACAGACTGAATCTCTCTGCGCAAATGAACCTCACTGGGACTCGGTGTTCATAGGTCTAAAAACAGGGTTCAAAGAAATGACCTACAAAATCCCTGCCGCCCTAGGATAGAAGGGCCACACAACCGCAGTTATCTTAGCTGTTGCTTGCCTTGGTTCCCTCATCCACACTGTCCTCTAAGACCTGCCTTCCTCACCTGTACCTTTTGCCAGTGGCATCTGAGGGGTCCAGGACAGAGGCTCCAATCTCTGTGAGCCATCAGGTATCAGGACAAGAAGGAATAAAAGCACCAGACACCGGGGGCTCAGGGCCTCTCCCCAGAGAGCTCGGCAGACCTCAGACTGCCAGGCTTCCTGTGCCTGGGCGCTGGTTGAGTAGGGTTGGGGCTAGAGGTGGGGAGAGGGCGTGACCGGAGGAGGGTCACACTGGAAAGGAAATGGCAGAGGTAGAGGCCAGAATGTGCGGGAGTGCACTGGCTGATTTCAGTCAATCCTCAGCCCTGGAGGCAGGGCCTCTCATTATCCTCCCTTTACTGATCAAGGCACAGAGAGGTAAAGTGTCTTCCTGGATGTCTACCTCTTTAAAGGCCTGCTCTTGATCTCTCCGCCACTGTGAGCTCTGGCTGAGCCTTAAAATCACCTGGGGAGCTGCTGAAACCCACATGCGCTGGGGCCCCGCCCCTCCCAACTGACTCAGAGTTTCCAGGGGTGGGGTCCAGGTGTTTGTAGCTTTCACAAGCTGCCCTTCGGGGGCCCTCAGAGAGGACTCCCACAGTCTCACCACCCAGCCAGACAGCCCCTGACCTCGGAGTTGGCAGCCATTGACCTTTGAGAGGCTTCATTTATGCACTGTTTCCTCTGAAGGCATGTGGGGAAGTGGTTCTCCTGGAGGGGCTTGTGAGTTCCCTAAAAACTCGAGTGTGGGGATGGGGCAGGTGCCATGCCCATGGTCCTGCGGTTTTCCAGCCTTCATTGGCACACATAGGACGGGTTTGGGAACTCACGCACAGCATCGAGTAATGACTACGGAGAGAATGAATGATCTCTCCCTTGCCTAGATGGCCTATAGTTCTTTTTTTTTTTTTAATGCATCTAGGTACCACGTGATTCTTTTATACTATACAGACCCATTTAAGAGTTGCTGAATGTATTTTTCTCAGCCAGCGGGTACTAGAGCATAACTATTATCCCAAGGGAGGAACACCGGGAATTTTAAAAGGTGGGAATCTCTGGATGAGCTGTGTGCCTCCTGACAGCAAGAAAGGGCTAGATGGGGGGTGGGGGAGGGGGGATGCCTGGGTGGCTCAGTCTGTGAAGCATCTGCCTTTGACTCAGGTCATGATCTCTGGGTCCTGGGATCCACCCTGAGTCGGCTCCCTGCTGAGCAGGGAGTCTGCTTCTCTTTTTCTCTCTGTCCACCCCACCCACTGTTCATGTTCTCTTGCTCTCTCTCAAATAAATAAATAAATAAAATCTTTTAAAAAAGTAAAAGAAAAAGAAAGAGCTAGAAGGGGTTGAGGGTAAGTACCAAAGACAAGACAGGCTGGGAAAAGGGAAAGGAGAGGCCGCATCCAGGGTCGATTTAATCTACTTCATGTACTTTGTTAAAATTTCTTTTAGTAGGCTAACTGGTGATCCCCCGTTCAACCCTCTGCCTTTACAGGTGAGAAACTAGCGGTTCAGAGACAGTGCACACTTGCCCAAGGTCATCGAGCTGGGGAGCAGGCCTGTGTGGCTCTGAGTCATGTGCTCTGAACATCACTAAATCATCCCATCACTCCCTGCCATCCCAGCCCGAAACCAGCGGCAGGGAGGGGTCAGAAGAAAGCTGAGGACCTGGCGCCTGGGTGGCTCAGTCGGTTAAGCATCTGCTTTTGGCTCAGGTCATGATCCCAGGGTCCTGGGATCAAGCCCCGCATTAGGCTCCCTGCTCAGGGGGGAGTCTGCTTCTCTCTCTCCCATTCCTTGCCATTCTGCCTACTTGTGTGATCCCTCCCCATCTCTCTATCAAATAAATAAATAAAATCTTAAGAAAAAAATATAGTTAAAAAAATAAAATAAAATAAGTGGTTCAGTGAAGACAGTGTTTAAAAAAAAAAAAAAAAAAAAGGCTGAAGATCCCAGCCAGCAGATTCCTGGACTGGAATTGCCCTTAACTTTCTCGCCACCAAAGTGAGGGTTGTTGTCCCCCTCCAAACACAGAGCCTGAAACTCAGGAGCCTGGAAGACCTGAAAAAGCCAAGTCGGGAAGGCCCCAGTTTACCCTCCCTGACCACCCGGGCTCCTGCCAGTCAAGGGGAAGGGGCAGGCCTGCTTCCTCCTAAGATCTCACTAAGCCAGAGACATACTGCTCCATCCACATCCCTAATTCCAGGGCCCTCACCCCAATTCTCAGCTGATTCCCCTCTAGGCCTAGTACCAAGTCTGCTCCCCAGGGAAGAGAGGAAATCCATCATTGCCAAGGCTTTTCTCCTTGCAGCCATCAGGCAGGACTCTTACTCCCTCCAGAGTTCTTTAGATAAGGAGGTTCTGGGGACCCTGGGAAAACTCAGGCAGTCCTCAACTCCTGGGAAATTTGGTGCTCCACCTAAATCCTTCCTGTGAAGAAGTGTCATGCCTATTGGTCTAATTGTACTTTTCCCAACGCATTTGGACAAAGGCCATTGTATCCACTACAAGAATTCAAACAGAGGAAAACCCATCTGCTCTCTCCCTAAGATTTCCTTCTCCAGAGAGAACAATCCTGACTCCTTGGGCTACTTCTCAGAGGTCTGGCTGCTCTTCCTCCTCCCTCATCATGGCTTTGCCCACGACAGCCAGTGACAGCCCAACACATCAGGGAAGTGGTGACTGTCACAGAAAGACACTGCTTGCTGGGCTGGTGCAAGTCTCCCTGCCTGGTCCCAATCCAGGGCCCTAAGGCCAGGGACAGTGTTAGTGAGGACAGACTAACCCCAAGGTCTTTTTCCTTCTCCCCCAAGTCTTTTCAGGGGTGGGGTTGGTCCCCCCGGTATCTCTGTCATCTGCTTCCTCCTCTGACTTCTGACCACTTCTCTATTGCTCCTTTGTCTTTCCGGCATCCCTGCCCCCAACACTATCACTACTTCCTCCTGTTCCAGTATCTCCCACTATGGTCTCAGGGAAGAGCTGCCTTCCCTATTCTTCTCTTGCATGACATGGGCCCCACTGTGTCTGCCTGACCCACCACCTGGCCCGAGACTCCCACTGCTAGCAGCGATTCCCACTGCTAGCAGTGGACATGTTTTCTGTTGAGTGGGGGAGAAAACTTCCTTTGCTCTTCTGTGACCAAAGGCTGCTGGCGGAGGGCTCAGTGTGAGCAGTGATGTGGTGCAGATGGTGGCCAGTTCAAGTATGTGAGCTCCTAACAGAATCTTCCCTGCAGATACTCAATGTGTGGGGGTGAGGAGTGGGCATCAATCCAGGTGGAGGCCGAGAAAAGAGGGATAAGGCAGAAAGCCTTACTGGCTGAGGTCACGAGGAAAAGGGGTAGCCACTTTCTATGCGAGGGGTAGGTATAGAGAGCCTGGAGTGGATATAGGGGCTACAGGTAGTGGAGACAGAAGACAGTACCTTGGAGACAACAAACTATGGAGGTTGGGACTGTTCCTATCCTGAAGCCCCCACTAGATGACATGAAGTGCAATAAAAGGATTTAAGTAAAATGTAAGGAAGAGCCTGCCTATTGAGGAGTCCTCCTCAAGGATCAAAGGTAGTAGTGGCCTATCTTTCCTGGGGGAGTCAAGAATCGTTTTTTGAATGCTCATAATTCTAGCTAAGGGACAGATTATGGGACAGGACCAGTTTGGAACATCCAAGTTTATTGTGTCCTAGTTCAGCAAAAGAGGGGGTTGGTATGGGGGTGGGGCACAACGCCTACCCTGCCTTTTTCATCTCTCCCAGATTTGCAAGCACCTCCTATCTTGGTCATTAAAAATGGAGGCTTCCTTGAGGCTGCAGGCATCCTTGGGGGTGCTCAGAAGAGACACCAGAAATCTAGGGCCTAGCTTCACGCCAGGCACATAGTCACTTGGTCAACATGTGAACCAAATAAATGATCATCAGTAAGGCAGGTCACTGAGGGCTGAGGCTTACCCTGCTTCTGTCTCCCAGGGTCCCCAGGTTCCAGTGGCCTGGGGCCTTGTTTCTTCCCCACTGACCAGGGTGGAGAAGGCAGCACTAAGCCGGGACTGGAGAATGGAAGGAGAGAAACTTGCTGGTCTTCCAGGCATTGTCCAGGACCGAGCACTGAACTGTAGGGCAATCACCGATGGGGCTCTTCCTGGGCTCAGATTCAACCCCTTCCCTGCCTGAGGTCCCAAGGCCAAAGAGAACAGTTTCCCAACCTGAGAGGAGTGGGCAGCGGGCTGGGCAGCCGCAGAGCAGGGTCTCGGTCCTTGCCCCTTCCCAGCGCTGTTGCATCTGAGAGACACGGCTCAGAGGAGCTGTTCTCTGGCAAAGGCGACCCAGTCAGCCTGATTTGGAATTGGGAGAGGCTCTTTAAGCCTCTCACTCAGCTCCGGGAGGAAGTGACTGACAAGTACTAGCTAACTGTCTCTCTTCTAAGCCAGGAGGAAGCAGCAGGAGGGAGTAGGGTGCGTGCCCTGCTTCACTCTGGGGAGATGTGTGCTCATCACACGGAGTGTAGGATGTAGCCTGGCCCGTTGACCTTCACAACCTTATGATGTCACCTCCACCCTCCAGAGAGTTGGGGGTGGGCAGGTTTCGGGGCAAAGGCTACGCATGTTACCTCCCTGGGGCCCCAGAACGCAGGCAGCAGCATCCACCCGGTGGCGACGTCCCGCATACCCGGTCCCGGCTCCCCTCCCCAGGCCTGGGCCTCTGCATGGCTGAGTTCCATCCGCGCAGCGTCCCCGCCCAGCTCCGGGGCGCCAGGGGCCAAGGCGGCGCTCCCACCAGTCACCCCGGGCCCCGGAGGCTCCTTACCTTGAGCTGGGACTTGGAGACCTTGCCGCTCTTCTCCACGTCCAAAGCGGTGAAGGCGTACCAGATGGACTTGAGCAGCTCCTTGCGCAGGGCCATGGCTGAGGTGCCCGCCCGGCCCGGGGGCGGCTCTGACACCGAGATCCGGTTTCAGGAAATGCGAACGGCTGCGGAGACCGCAGAGGGGCCATGGCGCGGAGCAAGAGCTCCACCTGCCTGCTCGAGCGGGCTCCCCGGGCTGCTGGGGGCTGTCTCTCGCCGAGCTCCAGGCCCACTCTCTGCGCACCGCCTGGGAGCCCAGCCCCGGAAAGCCGGAGGCCTGCTGCTGTCCAGTGTGGCTCCTGGGGCGTGGGGCCCTTTACAAGTCTCCCCAGCCCCAAAAACTTCTGGGGCTTCCTGGGTTCCCAGAGGCAGCTTGCTGAGGGGATGAAGGAAAAACAAAACAAAAAACAAAACAACAAAAAACCACAAAGCCCCCCACCCCCGACTTTGGGAGGGTGGTGGTCGAGGGTGTCCTGCCTCGCTTGCACACTTCCCAGGCAGGAGGCCTTGCTCGAGCTACTAACCTCCTTGAGCAGTTCCCTCAGGGGAGAGCGGGAAGAATACCCACCTCTCCCAGTTGTAACGTCTGGGCATGGGTGTGAAGCAGAGCAGGGATGGGACAAAGCATGCCTTTTAGGGCCGTCTAACATCACTGTGGTGGCAGGGCTCCTCCCAAGCGGAAGAAAACAAAGGCGAGGACACATAGTTGGCAGAGGAACTGGGCCAGGGCACCTCTCCAGATCAGGCGGGCTTGGTCCGTGACTTGTTGCCTCCCCATCTAGAAGGCCTCAGCTCAGAGCACTGCCCACTCTGGGGCCCGTTGGCCCTGAGAATGGGAGCCTGTTTCTGAATCTCAGGGCCGTGGGGTCGGGGGGGGAGGGTGAACCTTGTGCAGGGGGTGGGGGCAGCTCCTGGTGTGCCAACAGGAGGCCTGGCACTCAGGGTCCTCCACGGCTGTGCTTCACTTTCTTCAGATCCACTGTCTGTGAGGGCCGGGATGTGCCTGCCCAGAACAGTGGTCATAGGTGTTGGAAGAAGCCTGCTTAGGTACCTGAGACACCCCTCTTCCTAGGGTCATGTCCCAGGCCTCTCTGCTTCCAAGGAGCTGCTGGCATGAGTAAATGGAAGACAGAGTACCTGGGCTGGGGGGAGGGTTCCATTCCCAGGTGGCAGGAAGGGACTGGGCACATCCATCACCTTGGAGACAGGAAAAGAGGCCCCTCCAGTCCCTGCAATGTCCCATGCCAGACGAGGCAAACCCAAAGAGTTTTTCTCATCATGTCCCCACCTCCCTTCCCACCAGGGCTGGTCAGCCCTCCCACACTTTCACTAAGGTCCAGTGGTGGCTTTGGGATTCCACAGCATGGTCCCAGTGGGCATCTCCAGAGCTGGGACTTCAGCACCAGAGCAGCACAGTCATCGGAGACCCTCGCTAACCTTGGCAAAGGCACCTCCTACCCCGACTCCACTCTGGGGCTTTGCCCACTTGGAGACACTGAGTGGGGGTTGGGCACGGAAGGGCTCGATATCACACAAGGTAAGGTAGGAAAAAAACACAGTTCCTCTGAGCCAACCATCCCGATGTCTGAGATCCAACCAGAGCCTGGAAACAGTGGTCACCCTGGAGCCCACCTGCTCGGGCACGGGCAGGAAGCCACCTTACACCCATGTCCCTGGTAGGCCAGTCCCACCAGTCTGGCACTGAGGTCCGGTGGGGTTGGTCCGGGGATACAGGGCTAGGAGCCTAATTCGACCAGCCCTGGTATCGGGGCCCAAAGTCGAAAGGAGGGAGGCAGGGGCCCAGGTGGAAACTTGGAACTTTTATTAAATACTCATTCACCCATCTGCCACCACCAACCAGAGCAGGAAAAAAATTATCAAAATGGAATTAAAAAAAAAAAAATAAAATAAATTCAACCCAACCCCCAGTATGTACAAGGCCACTCCCTACCTCTCTGGCGGAGAGGAGAGGGGCGGCTGGGGGTGGGTGGGGCTGGGCACCTTTTCTCCAACCACAGGCCCCTGAGCGGTTCTGTGGTGGCAGGAAACCCTGCTGCCAAGTGGCCAGGCACCTTGGCAGGCTTCCAGGGAGGTGGTTATTGCTGGGAGGAGCAGGGCTGGGCCTGGTCTGCTCCTGCTGGGCTGAGAGCTGGGCCAGGTGGCCCCTTCCCCTGGTGGGCGGTGACCAGTCAGAACACAGGACCAGTCCCCACAGCAGTCCCAGTCGCCATCTGAGAAGGGGAGTGGACTGAGAGGTTGATAGGGTATTCTCTGGAGGAAGGAGAGTGGGCACCCAGCTGATTCTGAGGAGGGGATGCCCCAGTGCAGCCTGGTGATCAGCTTGTCCTCTTTAGCTCCTGACACCCTCCTCTGATTCCAGCTGTGCAGCCCTCCCCTGGAGCAGGGCCCCCGGCGTCCCCTTCATTTAGGCTGTTTTCCTGCCGCCATCTCTCCCCGGAGACCTCTGTGGCCACCTTCCAAGTGTCGGCCACAGCCCGGGCCCTTGGAGCAGGGATGCCTGTGCGGCATGGGGCCTCCTCCAACTCGCTGTGGAATCCAGCCCCCTGGGACTCAGCAGCCATTCTCTGACTCTGTGGCCTCCAGGGTCACGGCCCCTTGCTGCATGGCAGCAGTGGCCACGCTGATGGCCTCTTCTAAGGTCTGCTGCTCCTCCAGCTGTGGAGAAGGGGGGAGAGAAGCAAGGAGAGAGTCAGCCACTCCCCACCAGACTCTAGTGCTAGTGAGTATGTGGCCTGCTTTGCTGAATCCCCTCCATCCACCCAGTGCCACATACTGAACACTCAGTGGGGCCCCCGTGAATGGCAAGTTCGCTGATAGAGTCCCAATGGTCCCGGGTCAGAGAGAGGGGCCTGTTCACAGAAGGGGATCACTGGTCAGAGGGGACCTCAGTAATCATCTACTTGAGCCCACTTATTTTCCTGATGAAGAAAGGAGGCACAAAGAGACAAAGGGTTTAGACCACCTGGCATTCTTTTTCGGGCCGAATGCCCTTCTCTTCAAGATCTCTGTCTCCTTCCTCTCCCCTCCTTATTCCCTCCTTTCTTAGGCTCTGGGACCTCAACCCACCTGCACAGCAATGTGCGTTCCGTTCGCTGTGGCCAACAGTGCCACCTGTTGGTGATGGAGGGATCCTACACTTGAGTCGTCGGCCACCACAGCCCCAGAGGTAATGATTGTAACCTGAAAATAAAAGAATGAGATTTTTCCAAGCCACCTATGTTATTCTCCCTCCCCCCAAGCCAAATAAAAATTCTTTCAAGCAAGGTGGCGGGGAACAAGCCAGAAGAGGCTGGATAAAACCATTTCAGGTCAGATTAATTAGCACGGGGCTCAGAGCTGAGTGAGGTGGCATTTTTTCTCTGACTGAATTTAGGGATTTGGATTCATAGAAGGTCAGAGCTGCAAAAGACCCAGTGGTAATTCAATCTCATTTGAAAATGGACTGAAGCCCGTGAAAAGTGACCTGCCTGTGGTGGCAAATTGAGTTAGAGGTAGATCAAGATTTAGACACTGTCTCTTGACCCCCAGTGAAACGCTTTTCCAGAGAACTGATGACGCAGAGGAGCCGTGGGGGGAAATCTTGGTCCCCATAAGAAGGCTAGACGAGGATGGCCGGCACGTTAATGCCCACCCCACAAAAAGGAAGGACAAGAGAACAAGAAACCCCAAGCAAACCGCCTGGTCATACGGGCTGCGTCTGCGTGCCATCAGCGCTGACCATGGTGACCGTATGTGTGCCAGCTGTGGCAAGGTCATCGTCCTCACTGGGTATGGTGAGGGTGGTGCTGCTGTGCTGGGTCACCATGCTGATAGCACTCCCCAGGGCCTGAAGGTCTTCCGGGGACAGGCTGACCTGGTGACAGGAAGGAAGATGAGCTGGGAGTGCAGTGGCGGGCTGTCTGAGAGCCCCTGGGTACGAGGACCTGCGCTCGTAGACAAGGTTAGCTTCTTGAGAAGCTGGAAGACTCGCTTCATGTCACAGAGGGGGAGGGGGACAGGGACAAGCAAGGAAAACAGGTCTTCATTTGCCTAAAGGAGATACTAGAAGAATTCTGTTGACCACTCCTATTTACCACCACTTTGCCTTGGAGCTCATTTCTATTCAGTCTGGGGTCTCCACCCCAAATTTCATCCTCATGTCAATTCCAAAAGACAGAGGTATGCTTGTCAGCAAGGGTGCTGACAAGGGTCTTATCATACCGCTCGCTAGAAACCCCCTGCCTCCAGACCCCACACCATGCTCTGGTCCCCACATCAACACGCCTCTCTTGAGAAATGTCTCAGTCAGACGATCAGGACCTGTTGGCCTCCACATAAACAGGGAAGCTACTAATTGCTCTCGAAGTTCTAGAGGCTGAGGTGGAAGCTTGAGGAGAAGGGGCTGGCTGACAAGACTTGGGTCCCTGAGCCTCAGCTCTCTGAGCTCCACGAGGCGATAAAGAGAACCTGGGCAGGGGTGGAGCTGTCAGTACTTCGGGAGTCCCCGGAGTGAGAAAGGGGACCAGCCACAGTGGCTCAACCTTCCCCTTCCCCTCCCCGCCCCCCACTCCCGGGGGCCTGTACCTGCTGGGCGCCATCCTGAGTGATCAGAGCCACCTGGGGGGCCCCGTCCTCCTCGGTCACCATGGCCACCTGGGCTGGCAGATCATCGCCCTCTTCCTTCACCTCCGAGAGGTAGGCAACTCGGGAGCGTTTGGGTGGCAGACTCTCCTCGGTGGCGCAGGCGGCTGCGAGAGGAGAGCCCGAGCTGACACCCGCCACCGGCGGGCCCCGGGGAGGCCTGGCCCGTCCCCGCTCTCACCTCCTGCCCGGAGCCCTCACCGTCGAGCTGCTGCTGCTCGTACAGGGCCTGCTCACTCTCTTCCGTGGCCTCGAGCTCGCCGTGGGCACTGCGCTTGTGCATGGCCAGCGTGGAGGTCTGTCGGTAGGTCTTGCCACACGCACTGCATGTGTACGGCTTGCAGTGCGTGTGTACCACGTGGTGCTTGTACAGGCTCGAGTACTCGGTGAAGCGCTTCCCGCAGCCTGGCACCGTGCACACGTATGGCTTCTCCCCTGGGGACACTGGGCTGTGAGGGGGCGGGAACTGGGGCTGGCAAGGGGAAAGCTAAGGGGCCAGGGCGGGGGCGGGCA